AGGTGCCCTGCTGCAGTCTTAGCATCCTAATTAACAGTCTCGCTGTCTAATCACTCTGCTCTTCTACATGGGAGACACTGACCTCTACTCCACACCACTGCCAACAGCCAAGGAGAGAGTGACTAGAGCCCAGCCACGTAATCTTCATGGCGTGAAACACATGCACACATGCATACACATGCACACGCGCATACATGTGACTTTTCTGCTTTTCTGACAAAAGGGATAATGTGATGCAAAGGAACGCCCTCTAAGGAACCGTCCCATCCACCCAAGACAGTCCGTGGCTTGCTTATTCTCTTTCTTGCCTACCTGTTTATTTAATAAGAGCTAGAGACCTCCAGCTCACGTCGAGTCCTTATTCTGTCTGATCACAATACTTAAATAGAACGCTATATTTTTAAACCAAGATTGAGAGAAGTTTTTCTACAATGCCTCATTTTTGTAGTTTGGCAGATAGAAGGATAAAACATCCTATTCCTATGCACAGAAATAGAATCCAAATTTGTGCATCATGGAAATCAGTTTTTCCTGAGTTTTGTGAGGAAAGTTGCTCTTATAACAAAATCAAAACCACAGGGGATGCCAAATGCCAGCTGGCAAATGTGGGGAATGTTGCAGTCGGAAAATCATCATTTTGCAACCACCAGGGTAAGGATTGGTCCAAGCAGAATCAGCAATGGCTGCTAAATCTTGGGGGAGATGTCAGTGAGCAGAATACCTGGATGGTCTTAAAGGGCCTCCAGAAATGTGGGTGATCGAAATTAGCATCGTCAATGAAAGACAGATGGACCTGGGATGCCTCCAGATGTGTCGTCCTCTGAAGGTTATGCCTGGAATGCCTAACCTGAATCTAGCCATGGGAAAACATCAGACAAACCTGAAATGAAGAACATCAATGTAAAAAAAGAAAGAACTCAATTCTTCAAAAAAAAAAAAATGATATCTTCAAAGACAAAGAAAAGCTAAAGAAATATCCCAGCCTAAAGAGATATAGCAACTAAATGTAATACATGATCCTAGACTGAATCTATTACTGAAGTGGGGAGGAAATGATACAGAAAAAATTGGGGGGGTAACCAAAAAAAATTGAAATACAGAAGGGAAATTACATCAAGGTATTGTATCGCTTTTAAACTTCACTAAATTGTGGTTATTATGATGAAGAGGATATCCATATTTTTAGGAAATACACACTGGGCAAGTCAGAGGTAAAGGGCCATGATGTATACAAACTTCATTTGCATCACTCATAAGAAGAAGTATATGTGGGGACCAGCAGTTGGCGTAATGGCTATGTCGCTGGACTCCCATGTAGTTGACCGCGGTTTGAGTCCTGGACCCAGTGGCTTGAACTCACGGCAGGCACAAGATCCCAAGAGGAGAATGGAGGAGAAGGGATTGCGGTGTGGCCATCCCCCCTGGGGGGTGATTTCTTGCTTTCTGTCTCTCTGTCTCTCTCTGTCTTTCTGATGAGCACACGTGCCCTATAGCAAAAACCTCCCCCCCCTCAAAAAAAAAAACCTATGTATGTGTACATATGTGTACATATGTACCAGGAGAGACAGTGCATGACCACACACAAATGATAAAAACAAACCCTGCAAAATGTTAACAATAAGTAAATAAAGAGAAGAACATATGAGTGTTCTGTGTTCTATTCTAGCCACTTTTACGTAAGATTATGTTATCTCCAAGTACAAAGTCAACAATGACAACACATACACACAACTCCAGGAGGTAAGGGAGTACCACTAATCTCCATCCTCAACCCTAAGGGAGTACCACTAATCTCCATCCTCAACCCTTCCATGTTTTGGCCCCTGCTTCCTTTATCTCAGCCCCTCACTCTTCAAAGAGAAATGCCCACCACCACCTTCAAAACTGTTATTGGTAGCAGTTAATTCTTCCTGGTATCCTGGGGAAGGGCTAGGTTAGCCGGTGGCATAGTGGTTTGGGCACTAGACTCTCACATGGCCAACTGCAGTTCGAGTACTGAACTGGCAGCTTGAAACTCAGGCCAGGAGCATAGGCATCCATGGTCAAAACCCTAGAGGAGAATGGAAGAGAAGGGATTGCCACATGGCCATCCCCCCAGGGGGGAGGGGGTGATTTCTCACTTTGTCTCTGTCTCTGTCTCCAGCAAGCACACACGTCCTGTAGCAAAAAATCTCTCCAAAAAGGGGGGAGGGAGGAGTGTCAGCTGGTGCTGTCGTGGCTAAGGCAGCTGGATCCCATGTAGATGACTGCTCGATTCTGGACCAGTGGCTTGAGAAACACACAGAACACATGTGTGTGCATGCCCAAATCCCAAAAGGAGAAATAGAGGAAAGGGGATTGGGTGTGACCAGGCCTCACAGAGGTACTTTATTTCTCCTCTCTCTCTCTCTCTCTCTCTCTCTCTCTGGTGAGCATATGCATACTCCAGCATTTTTTTAAATGGGGGGTGGGGGGGTAATAGGGAGAAAGAAACAAAGCAAAAATAGAAAGCACAAGTGAAAATACAAGTGAGGGTACCAAAAGATTTGTCAGAATAAATATTTTTTTTAGTTACCAAGGGCTTGCTGCGCAGCCGGGCCTCCGCGGCCCGGGCCGCCCGGCCCCGCTGCCTCTCCGGTGCTGGGTTTGTCCCGCCCCCGGCGCCGATGCAGGCCAGCGGCGCAGACCAGCCAAGGTTGCCGTCCTACCTTTCTCTGGCCGGGCGGGCGAACGGGAGGTGGCGATGGGTCCCGCGCACATTCACGCACTCAGGGCTGGTGTGTGGCTTTCATTCTACTCACTGGGGTTTATGCCTAAAGTCAGACTTGGGTTCATGTATAGGTATGTGTCAGCTGTTCTAGCTATTGGATATATTTAGACTAAGTTCATTGGCAGAACAATTGAATGAGGGGGAAGGTATGGAGGGCAACCGTGGATGCCAGGGACAATGTGGGAGGAGGATGGGACATGGCAGAGGGTGGGGGATGGGGAATCAAGGATGGCAAAACAATAGGCAAGGTATGCAGGACATAAGAATTGGAAAATTATTTGCTGAGAACATGTATGTTGATGTGTTTGATTGAGCCAATGCACAGTGTATTTTGGATGGAAAATTCATTTGTGTGTTGTGATGGTGTATAGTGAATTAATGTCGAAAATGAATAAATTTTAAAAAAATTACCAAGGGCTTGACAAAATTATTTTTTAGAGAATTACTTATTTAATTGTATTTATTTTTTAAATTTGACCAAAGAGAAACAGAGACAGAGAGAGAGAGAAAGCAAGTCAGCAGGTCTGGGACTCGAACCACAGTGAGCCATGTGGGAGTCCAGCACCCCAACCACCACACCACCTGCTGGTCCCAACAAAATTATTTAGCCAGCACCACTTACTGCACCTAAATTCACCTCACCTATGACTTACTTGACTTACCCAAAGTTAATGCATCTCCTCCTATGTTTTTTTAGCTAAGTTGGGGCTCAGGTTTACTAGTGACCACATGACATTTATGGCTTTTGCCATCAATCCCAAATTCTCTGTCACATACAAATGACTATTCTTTCCTCTAAAAGTTGGTGTGCTCACCTGTGATCACAAATGAGGTATAGTTCCTCTTTCTCTGCCCACAAGAGCTAAATAGACATCTTAATTCCTTTTTTTTAATTACAGAAAATATTTTATTCAAGTTCCCAAAACAAATTTGAGGAATTAAGTTCAGCTCAAATTAAAGTTAATTCGATGGGAGATGAAATCACTGTATATATTTGAATCAACTGTCCCATGTGGAATTTTTAAGTTTTTCAAAGTCCACCAAGCCAAACCCTTCACTGCCTTCATTGCTGTTGTTTTGCCTTTCCCCTTTGCTTTCTCCTGCTATGCCTTCAATCTTGTTCTTAGCCTCTAGTTCTTCCATACTGAGTACCGTCCAAGCTGGTCTAGAAGACTCTTTTTGTTTCTCTTAATATCAGTCTCCATTTTCATATCATCTTTATCATCATTCACATCACATTGCATCTTCTCTTGGCAATATTTGGGAACCACCACAGTAGCACTCTCTTGAACATCTTTTATTAAAACATCACTGTCTACTTTGAGAATACTTTTAAGTCTGTTGAGCTCCTTTGGGGCATTTTATTTATTTGTTTTAATTTTTATTCATTTTGAGAGGATTTTTGCCTTAGGGTGGGTATACTCACAGGAGAGAGAGAGACAGAGACAGTGAAAGGGAAAGTGAAAAATTACCTCTCAAAGGGGAAGGCCATGCTGCAATCCCTTCTCCTCCATTCTTCTCCAGGATCTTGGACATGCACACACATGTACCTGACATGAGTGTCAAGGCACCAGGTCCAGGATTCAAACCATGGTCAGCCATGTGGCAGCCCAGCAACATAAGCAGATGTCTTCTGCTGGCCCCCATTTTTTTCTCTTTTCAGCATGTATCATCCTTTCCAACTTACTCCATAAGCTTTTGGCCATGTTTTACCAAAAACTCACACACACACGCACACACACACACACACACACACACACGCCACAAAACCACACTGATGAGAAGTCTCTTCGTACCTTAATTTCTTAATGTAAATTGATGGCACTTTTTTCCTAACTCATAGATTGGGCAAGAATGAACTATTATTAAGTCTGATTGATTGTAGATAAAATTTTAAGAAGGATTATTGAATGCTACTTCCAGCACTCAATTTTTTTAAAAAATTTTTTTTGGTTTTATAACTTTATTTGAACATCAGCAGTTAGTTCTCATCCACACTGACTGACTGTAGATTTTTTTTTTTTTTGGAGAGATTTTCACTGTAGGGCGCGTGCGCTCGCCAAACAGACAGAGAGAGACATAGAGGTCACGCCGCAATCCCTTCTCCTCCATTCTCCTCTCGGGATCTTGGGCACGCACGCACACGTGCCCGGCGTGAGTTTTAAGCCACCGGGTCCGGGACACGAACCGCGGTCGACTACGTGGGGGTCCAGCGACATAGCCATTACGCTAACTGCTGGTTCCCAGACTGTAGATTTTTGAAAGTGGTAACAGGTACATAGATGACCAGAGTGTAGAGCTTGTTGAGTGAATCTTCATCCTCATTTCGTTTTCTGGACAACTGCACACGAATTCTATATGGGATGTTCATTATTCCTTTGGCCCAGACAGCTGTGTTGAGCCTGGTATCAATGTGCACATCTAGAGTCCCCATCTCCTTCATGGCAAATTTCTGGATTTCTTTGAGTGCCCGAGGGTCACCTTTCTTGAAGCCCACTCCATGGATGCACTTGTGAATGTTGATGACGTATTCCTGGGTCACCATCTTGCTGATGGCAGAACGGCCCTTCCTCTTCTCATCACCCTTCTTTGTGAGAGCCATTCTGTTGGGCCTAAGCTGGAAAGAAAGAATGCAAGGGATTCAAAAATCCTTATTTTTTAATTAAAGAATGTCAGCACGCCAACCCAGCAGGTGGCGTGGAGGTTAATGCACTGGATCCCACATGGCCGACTGAACAGTTCAAGTCCCAGACCTGATGGCTTGAAAATCACACCATGTGCATGTGTGTGTGTGTGTGTGTGTGTGCCCAAAATCCCAAGAGGACACTGGAAAAGAAAGGATTGTGGCATGGCCACCCCCTCTGGGGGGGGAGGGGGTGATTTCTCACTTTCCCTCTCTCGCTCTCTCTCCTCCCCCACCTCTGTCTCTGGCCAGTGCATGTACCATATAGCAAAAATTGAAAGAAAGAAAGAAAAGAGAAGAAAGAAAAAGAAATTGAAATGTAATAGAAACAGTAAGTCTCCATTTATGGTCTATGGAGGGGACTACAGCCCTCAGATTATTGGCAGAACCAAGATGGTAAATACATCCAGGGCCCAGTGAACTACTGCATCCTCCCTGGGTCACACAGCATTCCTGGTCACCTGTGCAGGTGCTCCTGAACACATATGCAAGGACTCATCCCCTACCCTATTACCACTGCCACATTCCCACTACACCTGCACACACCACTTCACCTCTACTGCCAAAGGTATAAAAACTAGAAAATGGAACTCTTACACAATAACAACGTATCAACCAGAGAGGAGTAGCCATTCAACCCCAGACCTCCTCAGTCCCAATCTAGCATTGAGCTCATCCTAGTTCCCTTCAGTCGTTCCAAGGAATTTATTGCTGCTGTTTTGTTTTGTGTGCATTCATGTGTATGTCTGTGTCTTTCAGGTTAAGTTCAGCTTGTGTTAGTTACAGGAAGCTGAAGTGCCATAACACATATCCACATATGTAATACTCCAAACACAAAAGAAGTGTAAATTTGTTCATATAATAGTCCAAGCCATTTCTGGTTGAGCAGGCAGCTCTTCTTTACATACTGAGGCAGGGATCCAGGCTCCTTCCAATCTGCAGCTACATCATCCACACCAGAGCTCCATCATCCTCTGCATCCAGTTGGCAAAACAAGAAAAATCAAACGAGGCCCACCTGACCCCTAAAGGCCACAGCTTAAAGTGGTCCCATCAGTCCACTCACATTCCATTAGTGAGAACTGATCACATGGCCCCAGGTACTGCAAGAGAAGATGGGCGTGTTGCCCCTGGCTGAGCAGCTGCTTCGCATTACTAAAAGAGAAGAGCAGGTTTGGGTGGGCGGCTAGCAGACCTGGCCATGGACCTTACACAAAGAAAGGGGGAAGTTTTGGTTCATGGAAATTATGTAGGACCCAGGAAAATTAAAAAAGGACTCTGAAAGAGTCTTCCTTTAAATAACTTTTTTTTTATTTATTTATTTTATTTCTTCCAAGGAGGGGCAAACAGAGTCAGGGACCCTTGATAGGGTCTTGCCACACCAAGACATCCATACCACCCCCAGCCTTTCTGCCAGTACGATTGTGGGTGCATGCTTGCAAGCTCAATATGTTTCAGGTCACCCCAAGATCCAAACCATGGTCTCCCATGTCATTCAACACTGAAGAGTGGCACCCTCCTGCCTATACCACTGCAGCTGGGCTGAGTTATTTTTTTTCTTTTGACTTATTTTGGCAGGTGTTTTTGTTTTTGTTTTTTAATCTTTCTCTTAACAATTATGTTCACATACTTATATGTATTCTTTTTTCTTTATCTGCCTACTCAAAGTTTTGAGACAGAAACTATAATGAAAGAGTGAGAAAGGATGATATTGAATCTTTGTTCAAGGTCAGAGAAATAGGTAGGCCAAAAACTCTTGCCAGACAGATGATCAAAAAACTCTTGGAAATCTGGTTTTCATTGATTTGCTTGTGTCCATCTTCTTCTCTAGCATGTAAGTTCCATGTAGGCAAGGATTTGGCTTTATTTATTGCTGTATTGCCAGCAACTTAGGCATACTTAGCACAAAGGAGATGCTCTGTAATATTTGTTGGATAAACATATTTAATTGACTATGAGCAAAGCCATTGATATAAATACTATTCAAACCACACTAATATTCAAAAAGTTCCACACAAAAAAAGCTTTCGTTGCTTTAGCCTTTTTTTTCTTTTTTTTTAAATATCATGAGGGAAAACTAGAGATCCATATGCAAAAGTATGAAATCGGATCTCTTCCTTACACCATACACAAAAATTAACTCTAAATTGATCATAGACCTAAATGTAAGAACTAAAACTATAAAACTCTTCAAATATAACAATGGAGTGAATCTTTCTGATGTTAGCATTAGGAAACAATTTCTGAAACATAGAACCAAAAGTGTAAGTGACAAAAGAAAAATATATATAAATTGGACTTAATAAAAAATGTTAAAACCTTTGTTCTTGAAAGGACTCCATAAGAAAGTGAGAAGACAGTCCACACATCCTGGGAGAAATATTTGCTAATTCTATTTCTTTTTTTTTTTTTTTTTTTGGAGAGGTTTTATCGCTATAGGGCGTGTGCGCTCGCCAGACAGAGAGAGAGAGACAAAGAGACAGAAAGAGAGAAATCACCCCCCAGGGGGGATGGTCACGCCGCAATCCCTTCTCCTCCATTCTCCTCTCGGGATCTTGGGCACACACGCACACACACCCGGCGTGAGTTTTAAGCCACCGGGTTCAGGATGCGAACCGTAGTCGAATACGTGGGAGTCCAGCAACATAGCCATTACGTTAACTGCTATTTATCCTATTTCTGATAAGGGACTTGGACCTCAAATATAAAAACAATTCTTTCAACACAACAATATAAACTCTAATCATCAAAATTTAAAGTGGGCAAATGACCTGAGTAGACATTTCTCCAAAGATATGCAAGTGGTATGTGAATTATACCTTCATTATTTTAAAGTGCACTGGGTCCTTTGTTGGGTTTCTGTTTCAGGGACAGAATTTAAATCCCTATGGCATCTACATTGTTGATACTTGACTTAAACCACTGCAGTGTACCCTCTCTCTGTCTCTCTCTCTCTCTTTTTAAATTTTTGCCAGAGGACACATGCACTCACTGGAGGAAGACAGAGGGAAGGGAAAGCACCCCCCTCCCACGGGGCATGGTCATGCCACAATCCCTTCTCCTCCATTTCTCCTTTCAGAATTTTGGGCCCACACACACATGTACCCAGCATGTTTCTCAAGCCTCCAGGTCCTGGATTCAGTTCTTCACTCAGCCATGTGAGGCCCAGCAGCCTTAATCACCAGGCCATTGGCTGACCCTAGGACTGTGATTCTCAAACCATGGTCTCCAAACCACAGGAATTTGCTCATGTTGGGACCAGCAGTTGGTGTAATGGCTACGTCACTGGACTTCATGTAGTCGACCACAGTTTGAGTCCTGGACTCAGTGGCTTAACCTCACGCCGGGCGCATGTGCGTGTGTGCCCAAGATCCCGAGAAGAGAATGGAAGAGAAGGGATTGCGGCATGGCCACCCCTCTGGGGGGGTGATTTCTCTCTTTCTATCTCTCTGTCTGTCTCTGTCTTTCTGGTGAGCGCACGCGTCCTATAGCAAAAACCTCTCCAAAAAAAAAAGAAGAAGAAGAATTTGCTCATGTTAACGAATTCTCTGGCCCCACTCTGGACCTAACAGATCAGGAAATCTAGGGTGGGGCCCAGCAACATGTGTTTCATAAACCCTCCCAGAGACTCGGATGATCACCACAACAGTTCTCCGGACAAAGAGGAACATATCTCTTCTCTGAGACGAGTTCGTACAAAATTCTACCCCACCCTCAGGATATCAAAAAGGCCCTGCTCTTTCTTACTAAATAACAGGCACAACTATTATTTTAAAACACTCTGCTTCCCTACCACGTGTCTGTTCTTTCCCCACACGTGCAATTAGCAATGGCCCGCTCTGTGTATTGTAACCCACTCCCACCTCTCTGACTTTCTGTCTCCGCATAGCCAGCCTCGTAGAGGTGACATCCCAATAGCTAGGCTCAGAGGAGGCCAGGAGATCCCAATTCTCGGCCTTGAGACCTTGGACACTTGGACAATGCATTCTTTTTCCAGAGCACATTGTACTGGCATATTAGCAATTTGATTCCCAATTTGTTATTGTCCTGGTGGGCTTCTAGCTCCCTTGTACTTCTAGGGAGAAAGGAGTGCTTGTCAGGCTGAGATGGGAGCATTTTGGAACCTTCCCTGAATAACCATATTAGCATCAAACCTTACTCTTTTTTTTTTTTTAAGAGATTTTCACTGTAGGGCGCGTGCGCTCGCCAGACAGACAGAGAGAGACATAGAGACAGAAAGCGAGAAATCACCCCACAGGGGGGATGGTCACGCCGCAATCCCTTCTCCTCCATTCTCCTCTTGGGATCTTGGGCACGCACGTACACGCGCCCGGCGTGAGTTTTAAGCCACCGGGTCCAGGACATGAACCGCGGTCGACTACGTGGGAGTCCAGCGACATAGCCATTACGCTAACTGATGGTTCCCTCAAATCTTACTCTTAACCCCAGCACCCACCAGCATGGCATTTATCATCTCTATAGGGCTTACCTTACTGCTTACCAAATACCTACCCATTGTATACCAATCTGCGTCCTTTACCCACACATCCACTTACAAAATCAGCACAGTCAGGGCGTAGTCATATTTGGCCTTTGTGTGCTCACTGGGGTTCGCTGGGGATATCAAAGCATAGGCAGCTGGTCTAGGGGCTCTGAGAGTCAGTGGTAAAACCCTGTGACCTTGGGCAGCAATCTCCAGGCCTGTTTCCCAAAAGAAAGTAAGCCCCTTGCAGGAGTGCTAAAGATAGGTCGCTTGCCCTCATGTGGGCCATACTTGGGGCAAACAGGTGACTTCTATCAGCCATGCTAAATGTGCATGCATCTGTGTATATGTAACACAGCCAGAGCCATGGAAATAAATCTCTTGCTGGCTCCCTTTCTGCAACAGAAAACAGAAATAGAGAAAAACTTAACAACTGCAAACCCAGAGCTAAG